GTAAGCTTGTCATCATTTTATGCTATCGCAATATGTAAAATGGAGTTTCTATTATAGAAGTATGCTCGAAGATTGGTGATCTGTGAATTGTATAGGTTCGTAATATCTATAAGACACCAGCCTCCTTCAGTTCTAGACACTGTCATTCTCTATACACATGATCGGGGGTGATGCTTCCTATGTTTCGTCATTGTCGTATTTATTGAGCGTTGAATGTACTTGAGGTCCGAATTTGTCTAGTTTAGCACTCCAAACGAATAAGTTAGTATTGGTATGGCATATGTATTTATTGCTTTTATTGTATTTTTTGCATCAAGATGAGTTCTTAAAATCGAGTTTAGTCTGTGTTTGAATTGTTGTCTTAATGTTGATTTCATTTCATTATAATGTAGTAATTTCGATTGATGGTCGCCTAAATATTTATACGTCTCCATTTCATCAAGTGAGTTTATTATTTGCCCAGTTTGAGTTTCATAGTCATGCCTATACAGCTGTCCTGATTTAACCGAATTAATTTTACATTTGTCAATTCCAAGCTCTATACCTATATCCAGTGAGACGCTTTCAGTTATGTTTGCAAGTAGGTTTAAATCTTCATGGTTCTGGGCATACAATTTTATGTCGTCCATATATAACAAGTGGTTTATGTGATATACGTTCGATGGTGATTCTGGACTATCTATATATTTAAATCGATAACCTATATTGGATGCATTTAATTGACTAGATAGTGGGTTTAATGCCAAGCAAAACCATAGTGGACTTAAAGAATCACCTTGAAATATGCCACGTCTAATTTTTATAATATCAGTGTCTTTAGTTTGTGTGTGTGTTGATGCGTAATCGCGTTGTCTAATTATTCATGACAGTACTTGAAAACATTATTATTGTTGGATTAATCCTGTAAATATCTAGAATTTTCAGGAGCCACGTATGAAGGACAGAATCAAAGGCTTGTTATTACCATTTGAAATAACAATCAAATAAATCAAAAAGAAAAAGAAAACCTAATTAGTTATTATAGAACCCATCTCATTTAAGGAACATTAACGCCAATCTTTTGCCAAGAATGAGCATTGACCATTGACGTTGACCGTTCAAGTGTGCCACTCCATTTAACGCGTTAATAGTTAACGCAATATTTATCGCGATGATGGGCATTGACGTTTCCCGTTACAGTGGCCCCAGCATAACATAATACGCGCGTCGTATTATTTAGTACGAGATTGCTGAGAAAATACGAAGATTTCAAAGCAAAAATATTTCAATTAACAGCTTACAAATGTATTAATTTTTGATTTCAAAATTTTCTATTTATATAAAAAGACAAGTCCTGACTCACTCATCTACGTCCAACCTAAACCCTTGGACCTAAAAAGCTGAAATTTTTAACCCCTAAAGGGGTAAAATGGTGGTTCAAAATTTGTATGGCGAAACAATATTACTCGTAAACAGACATTTCGATTCAAAACTTCGCAGGAGTACTCCCAAAAATAAATAAGCAAATACGTCTTTCGTGATTTTCCGAAAATCAACCGCTTAGGGGATGAAATGGGGTAAATAAACCTAATAATGGACATGGGTGTCGTTATTTAGGTGTTTTGGGACGTTGATTGCGAAAATGGCATCTCTTACCGTTCCTACCAAATGATCTAAAAAACGTCGTGCAAGATGCACCGACGCTACTCGGAAGAAACAATTTCAAAACGCTTCTAAAAAGTATGCGCAAAACACCCAGCAGTGAACAGAAAAGCAGTGGCTCGGTACCAGCAAGCTCACCCTGAGGTGCATAGGGCATCACAGTCTCGATATGAGCAAAATAATCCTGGACGACGAGTAGAAAGTAAGCGACGTTCTTGGAAAATTAAGGCTCACTCCGGCATGGCATATGATATCGATACAGAGTATCTAAACGACAGCACCGTGGCCTTGGGTTCCATGACCAACAAGTGCTGGTGGTGCAATGCACTTAACTGGAAGGAGGAGGTACCCGGCATATGCTGTAGTACTGGTAAGGTGCAGCTCCCGTCTTATGAACAACTACCCGAGCCTCTCTACAGCTTGATAATGAATAGCCATCCAGAACATGAACATTTTATGAACGGTATTCGTAAATATAATAGTTCCTTTCAAACGACTTCATTCGGTGCCAAACATATAATAAAGGACGGTTTTATGCCTACATTTAAAGTTCAGGGCCAAGTATACCGTATAAGGGTTGGAAGTTTGTTGCCAGCGCCTCAAAGGGAACCACAATTCTTGCAAATATATTTGTTGGCGAAGACGACAGAGAAGTACAATTGAGGTGTAATAACCATCTTTATGTGAAATCTGGCTTAATCAGGCAACTATGAAATCTGGCTTAGTCACACAACTACAAGGAATGCTACACACGTTTAATGCTTATGTAAGAGACTTCAAGATCGCCCAGGACAAGGTGCCTGCAAACATTCAAAGTAGTCATTAATGCCGAGAGGAAACCACCAGACAGCCATAGAGGTCGCTTCAATGGACCTAAATCAAATTAGGTGGCCTTAGTAATGGTTGATCAACAATTTGAGAAAGGAGACATTATCCTTGAGAGCCACGACAACTCATTGCAGCGCATTAGTGAGATCCACCGTTCGTACGACGCCCTGCAGTATCCGCTTTTGTTTTGCCGTGGCGAGGATGGGTACTCCATTTCTTTACCTCAGCGTGATCCTGCGACCAATCAAGCACTTAAAAAGACAGTCTCCGCTATGAGTTTCAATTCTTTCCGTTTAGACAAGGAGAAGATAATCACCTGATGTATTTCCGTTCCCTTTTTAGTCAGTTTTTAGTTGACATGTACGCCAAAATAGAGACGAAAAGATTGAACTATATCAAAAACAACCAGGCGCAGCTGAGGGCAGACAGTTACATACACTTGCGGCATACCATAGCGAGGCAGGATGCTGATGGTGAGTAGCTAGGTCAAAAGGTGGTGCTTCCGTCAGCTTTTACCGGGGGACCACGTTATATGCACGAGCGTACACAAGACGCCATGACATACGTGCGCCAAAACGGCCCTCCTGATCTTTTTATAACATTTACGTGTAACCCCTGATGGAAAGACATCACAGATATGCTTTTACCTGGCCAAATGCCATGACATTATAGCCAGGGTATTCCACCTTAAGGTGAAAAATATGATGGCTCTTCTAACCAAAGGCAATCTATTTGGGTCGATGCGTTGCTTCATATACTCGGTCGAATGGCAAAAACGGGGTCTTCCCCATATTCACATCTTACTATGGCGAGAGCAGCGTATCACCCCAGATAAGATGTTATTACAATGTTATTAGAGCTGAAATACCTGATTCTGAGCAAGACCCTCCCCTCTACGATATTGTGAAGGCCAACATGATACATGACTCTTGCGGTAGTTTAAACCACAAATCGCCCTGCATGAAAGATGGTAGCTGCAGTAAGAGGTATCCTCGACCACTTCTCAAGGAGACACAGACAGGAGACGATGGGTATCCGCAATATTCCTGTATTGGATGACTTCTGCCGACGTTGGTTACACAATAAAAATAATGAAATTTAGTTGGACAACCGTTGGGTGGTGCCGTACAATCCTGTCATGTTACGTACTTTCAATTCTCATATTAATGTGGAGTACTACAGCTCTGTTAAGTGTATCAAGTATATTTGTAAATACGTGAACAAGGGTAGTGATCAGGCAGCCTTTACTATAGAGAATGAGAAAGATGAAGGTGAAAATGTACGAAAGCGGCCGGTACATAAGTAGTTCCGAAGCAGTTTGGAGGATCTTAAGCTTTCCCATTCATGAAAGGTTCCCTCCCGTCTTACATCTCGCTGTTCACCTTGAAAACGGCCAATGTGTATACTTTACCTCTAATAACCTGAGATCTAATAACCTGTCAGAAAATATAAAGAGTCCACCTCAGACAACGCTGCTAGCGTTTTTTGAAATCTGCAAGACGGACAATTATGCCAAGACACTGCTGTACTCTGAAGTCTCTTCTTACTTTGTCTGGAACAAAAATAAATTTTCTAGAAGGAAAAGAGGGCAAGTTGTAGAGACCTGGCCCGGAGTGAGAAAAGATCATGTACTGGGTAGGGTCTACACCATTCATCCAAACAACACCGAGTGCTACCACCTACGCCTGCTGCTCCATGAGGTTAGATGACCGACATCTTTTGAAGACTTAAAGACTCTGAATGGTATCCTCCATCCAACATTTCAGTCTGCATGTAAGACTCTTGGATTGCTCCAAGCATTGGGACACTACTTTACAGGAAGCTGCATTGTGCGATTCTCCTTTGAAGCTGCGAGAGCTATTTACAATAATGTTAATTTTCTGTCAACTCTCTGATCCTTTAAGCCTTTGGGAGAAATACAAAGACAGTCTCTCGGAAGACATTAAACGGCAACTGGAGAGAGAATTGCAAGATAGTGAGCAACTGCTCAAAGACGAAGTTTACAACAGATGCTTGATATTGATCGAGGATGCAGTGTTAGCTCAAGCAGGACAAAACTTGGCACAATATGGATTGCCTCAGCCATAAAGATCTGCAGCAACTTTCGGTAATCGAGAATATCTGAGGAAGACCAATTATAACCTCGGTATTCTGAGAGAAGTGGTTGGTAGTTACTGACGGATGAACAGCTTCACGTTTATCAGCAGATCCTTCAAAAATATTTTTTCTGGATGCTTCTGGTGGCACTGAAAAAAACCTTCCTTATCAATTTGCTATTGGTAAAAGTAAGGAGAAATCGTGGCATCGCCTTAGTTGTCGCATCGTCAGGAATCAGCTCACGCTGTCTTCAAGGACCCGTTAAATCTCATCCATGTCCAAACTCCACTCTGCAACATTTCAAAACAGAGTAATGCGGCCAAGTGCTGCGCGATTGTAAACTTATAGTTTGGGACGAAAGCACGATGGCGCATATAGGGGGTTTTGAAGCACTAAACAGAACTCTAAAAGATATCAAAGGGAACGATGACATGATGGGTGGATTCACCGCGTTTTTAGCTGGAGACTTCCGTCAGACTCTGCCGATAGTGCCGAGGGGAACTCGAGCTGATGAAGTTAAGGCTTGCATTAGGGCCTCAAATCGTTGGCCCTTAGTCAAAAAACTCTACCTTAAGAAAAAGATGGGAGTGTACTTAAAGGGCGATGTTTGCGCTGCACAATTCTCCGATCTCTTCCTTAAAATAGGAAACGGACAATATCCGGAAACTGAAGTCAAAATTACAATTCCACCAGATCTTGCCTTAGTTGTGTCGACTGTTGACGACCTAATAACCCGAATATATTCAGATGTCCACAACTTACACAGCAAATCCACAGAGTGGCTGTGCGAACGTGCGATTCTCACACCTAAGAACGATCAGGCTTCCGTCATTAATGACACTTTGTTGAAGTCGTTCGAAGGTGAAGAATATCAGTACAAATCTGTGTGTGTGCTTACGGATGAAGCTATACACTATCCTGTGGAGTTCCTAAATACACTCAACCCACCTGGTCTACCGTCTCACACACTTATCCTCAAAGTGGGAGTTCCAGTAATGCTACTGAGAAATCTCAATCCGCCTAAGTTATGCAATTTGACCAGGTTGCGTGTGAAAGCCTTACATAAAAACGTGGTAGAGGCCATTATACTCGTATTTACCGAAAAAGCTCGAGTTAAATCGGTGTATATACCGCGGGTACCACTTATACTAACGGCGTACCCATTCGAGTTTAAAAGATTGCAATTCCCTCGTTAAGGTCTGTCTCGCAATGACGAAAAAGATTGCAATTCCCCCTTAAGTGTCTTAGCAAGTCTCAGGGTCAGTCACTGAAAACAGTAGGAATTGATCGTAGGGGGGGATTGCTTCTCGCATGGCCAGTTTTACGTGGCCTGCTCGAGAGTGAGCACATCTAACAACTTAGTCGCGTTAGCATCTGAAGGCAGAACCTCTAATGTAGTATATAAAGAAGTACTTTCAGCATAGACTGAAAAAATTAATAGTCTTAACCCTTAGGTACTTCCTTAGGTAGGTTTCCTGCTCGAGCGAAGCCGCCGACAAAAGGTAGTTATCGATAAAAGTACCCACTGTCTAAGGAAGTTAGTGAACAATCGGGACATTTCGCGTCCCGACCAAGGGTGAAACGGGAGGTGTCACCAGACCCCTGAAAATCGGTACGTCTTGTCGAAATCGGCACACCCGAAATCATACTCAACTTCTTGACACGCACTCAGGCACACGTCTTACTTCTTTCTTTCCGTAAAAGTTCACAGCTGGACGCACACATATGCACCTAAAACCATGTTGTTGATTGTAAATTTTAGATGCCTACGTGTACGTAATTTTCTTGTTCTTATAATAAGTTGAGCATGGTTTTGGATTGGTTTTACGTAGTGTGGATGCCCCTAATAGCAGCCACGCCCATAGTTCCAGCCTTTTCGCCTTTTTTACTTCATAAATATGGTTTCTAGTGGTCTTAACTACACATATTGTTAACTAAAATATTCTTCGAATCTAGGGGAATGTATATTTCAAATATTATAACATAGCTATAAATCTGTGAGTGTTTAAAATTAGGCTTATTTTACGCTATCTCATCTTCAGGCTTTTTGATTTGTATGACTATAGACGTAGTAATGCAGTTATGTTTGTATAAAGTTTCAAGTTTTTTTATTTTCTTTTGGTGGAAATTAATGGGGCTGTACATAGATTAATAATAAGTCATCGCGGCGCGCGATGACTTATTATTAATCTATGGGGGCTGTAATTAGATATACGAAATGTTTGGAGTGCACAATGTCAGCCGTCAGACTGTTATTTGATTTGACGCACCTAATAATAAGTAATTACTAAAACTTATTATTTTAATTATCAAAACTTACCTACAACAAGTGTCTACCAAAAACTCAAAGGGCACAACCCTATGCTAGGCTGGCATTGGGTACACAAAAGGACGACATTCGGTACAGGGTGGCTGGAATTTGTGCCATAACGTCTTTTTTTTTTTTGCTTATGTTCGTTTTTGAAATTGTTCTCGAAACATTAAGATTATAAACTAATGTTGATTACATTTTTGGATAAATAATCTATCGATTAAAACCAGTGTTTAAAAATACTGTGCTCTTATTTAAAAAGCACGAATTTTTGAAGTTGAAATTGTCGTTAAAAGGCTGGTAATAGAGTCATCCACCCTACGCAGCGCGCAGTCTTTCATCCTTGGTTGGTCTAATATTTTGATTAGTTAGAGCTTTAATTAGAAAAAAAAAAACCGGCAATGTGCGAGTCGGACTCGCGCACCGAGGGTTCCGAACAAATCTGTAGGTATATAAGTTTAAAATTATTAAAAATATTTTTATTATATGATGTAACTAAAAATGTATGCTTTTCGCAAATTTTCCTTTATCTGTGCTATAAAAAGTTGCTTCAGACCAAATTTCAAGATTATGAGTTCACGGGAAGTACCCTGTAGGTTTTGATTCCCTTGCGAATGTCGAAAATTTACGGCATAAACGGCTGTATTTTTTGATTGCGTTGGCTTAGAAGTTTGATTTTTTCACAGCTCCAAGGGACAGTAGACTTGAGTATTTGATATGAATTTCAGCTTGATACCTCCACGCGTTTATGAGAAAAAGGGTCTTGACAGACAGACAAACAGACGGACAACAAAGTGATCCTATAAGGGTTCCGTTTTTTCCTACGGAACCGTAAAAATGAATGTCATTTAAATCAATCGCAAGGATTCTTAAAACCCCTTGATAGCTACTTAGTTAAAGGTCATGTATTTATTAAAGTTCATAAATTATCTAGGAACTATTATCATTCGTACAATTTGTTTTCATACATGCAATATTATCATGGAAAATAATATTTTTAAGTTCATAACAATGATTGACGTAAGAGTCGTCAAACCATTTATCTCCAGAAAAAACAATAAATATTGACAGATAGTAAATGTATGTATTAAGATTTTAAAAACAATAATATGATTAAGCACACCCAGTGTTTTCCACGGTCGAATTTGCAAACTTTCTTTCTGATGGGTAAATTCTATCCAATTCATACTGAGTATCTAACTAGATATTATGTCGGAAACAATAAAGATGAATCAAAACAAATGAAATATCTTTATTCTTGCCTAAGATCCTGTATGGATACTGCGCAAAGGCTGTCGCAGAATAGCAGGAGTCAGGTTTCCGTAGGTCACATACCGTTTGGTTACAATTAATTATTAAGCTGTCTATTTCAATTTTAACATTGTATTGTTTTGTGGCAAATAAATACTTTTTACTTCCATTACAGCCCTTCACAAGTCCACTGCTGAACATAGGCCTCCCTCAAGGAATGCCACAAAGCACGGTCCTGAGCCACCTGCATCCATCGACTTCCTGTATATCTTACCAGATCGTCACTCCATCTAGTGGGGGGACGCCCTACACTTCGTCTGCCGGTACGAGGCTGCCACTCGAGAACCTTTCTTCCCCATCGGTTGTCGGTTCTTCGAGCTATATGGCCGGCCCATTGCCACTTCAGCTTACTAATCCGTTGGGCTATGTCGGTCACTCTGGTTCTACTGCGTATGTCCTCATTTCTAAGTTTATCACGCAGAGAAACTCCGAGCATAGCCCTCTCCATAGCTCGCTGAGCGACCTTGAGCTTTCTCATCCAGCCAGCAGGAACCACCATGAAGGACCACGTCTCAGTTCCATATGTCATCACTGGCAACACGCACTGATTGTACAGTCTCATTTTCAAGTTTTGAGGTATACCTGACGAGAAGATGTGCCGTAATGTCCCGAACGTTGGACAACCGAGTTGAATCCGTCGATTGACCTCTCGGTCGAAGTTGGACTTACCTAATCGGACTATTTCCCCCAGGTAAACATACTCGTCAACAACTTCGAGCTTAGTGCTCCCAACAACTACCGGCATAGGTGTGACTTGGACATTAAACATGATCTTTATTTTGTCCATATTCATCTTAAGATCTATCCGTTGGGAAACACTATTGAGGTCATTGAGCATAGTGCTTAGGTACTCCAGCGATTCGGCCATAAGGACTATATCGTCGGCAAATCGAAGGTCAGTTATGTACTCGCCATTGATGTTGATACCGTATCCTTTCCAGTCCAGAAGCTTGAAAACGTCTTCCAATGCAGCGGTGAAGAGTTTCGGGGATATGACGTCTTACTTTTTATTTATTTATTATTTATATAGACTTAACACAGCTAAATGTTTTATTTAAGCCCATCACAAGCCCACGTTACACAATACAGCTCATTTATTACGATAAAATATCAACGAGTAAATGCAGCCTGAGTTCTGGGTTTTAAACCGCGGCATATAAGAAATTTTAAATAAATACAAATCGTATAATATATATTTTAAATACATATTGTTTTAAATTATTGTTGTTTAATTGAAGAAGATTAATGAATAATGTATGTATATTATAGCTAAATAAATAAGATAATAGTAATATAACTTAATAATAAGGTTAATGATTATTCCGGTCATTTTAAAAAACCATCCTCGCAAGATTTTCGTGGTCATATGAAGAAAAACGTAAAAAGGGTCAAATTAGCATAAAGAAAGCTATAACTCACGCTCATTGGGGATTGATTGAAATAAATTCGTGAAATTAACATTGTTGAACAAATGGAAACTAAGCTTAAAAATGAAAAAAAAAAACAAGTAAAAGACAAAAAATGCATCTATTCAGTAGGTAGTTTTAAGGAAAATGATGATGAAAATAAAAAAATCCTTTGAACTTTCATAATTCATAATTTATTAATTAATTAAAACGGCAGAATGTAAATCTAATATTTGGTACACTCAATATTTAGTGTTACCCTCTGTGTTTAGTCTCTCTGGTAGTATGGTCGTTTCATTTAAATCGCATACACTACAAAAACTCTTGCTATGAAAACTTTCTGCATTCGTCCGGGCATAATTTTTACTAAATCATCAAATAAACTTTGTGGCATTAGATTCCATTATTCTACTAACACTAATGTTCCCTGGTACTGGATTTCTTTGTTTAATTTGTCTTCCTGCTTCATTCCAAACAACCTATGTCGGGTACAGGTCTGGCGAGTGGGCTGGCCAGTCCAAAACTTCGATTTTAACTTCCCTTAGATATTCCGAAACTATTGCTACAACGTGGGGCCGAGGATTCAACATTCATTGTGCATTTACATAAAAATTATCTCCATGGAATGGGTAAAAGGCATCACAATCTGTTTTAAAATGTCGTTTAGGTACCGTGCCGCAGTCAGAAGCCCGTTGTTCACAACGTGTAGTTCCGTACTGGCCGTGCATCATTAGCACATCTCTTTAACAATGTTACACTGAACTTAAAAAGAACTCTTCTCTTAGCATCATCATCCCAATCCATCGTCTCTGGTAAGCAAGTATTAGGCGCTATTTAGCCGCCTAAAGTCTTCTTCTTATGGTGTGAATCCTAACTGTCACTTGCCAAACTTTCTGGAGCTTAACTCTTACCTCAGAAGAAGTCGCATTACAATTTCTTAGCACACTTCTGACAATAAATCTGTAGTCCCTAGCTGTTTATATTCTTTTGCTACTTTGTTCTTTACGTCTCGTACGAAAAATTATAGAATTGAAATATAGGTTTGAGCCACTTGATTGTAAGGGAAACCATTTTCAATTGTAGTTATAGATCTCGAGACTTGAGCTATGTCGGATGCAATTTGATCAATTGATTGTATCGTAACACGACAACCATCAATGTTTTAGAA